AAAAAGTTACACGGTGAACAGTAAAATCCAATTCCGTGCTGGTTCCCCAGGTTCTCTGGTCCCATCCAGGTCGTGCTCTTCTTCGTTTACTAATATTGCGTTGAGTCTGTTTGTCTTGAATGTCATCCCCAGCTATGCTATTACTAATTTATACGTACAATCTGCGTAGATCGAACGTAGTGATTCTTCGTTCTAGGTATGCCTCAGCGAGAGCTATTTCATCTGCAGTTCATCGGTTGGCCTGATCACGGATGTCCAGAACATCCGGAATCTGTGGTTACGTTTCCTGGATGCTGTGGATGTGGCTTGCAAGAAGGCCATCTCGACGCAGGGTCCTGTAATTGTGCACTGCCGGTTCGACAATTACTTTTTACGATGTTATTAAGGTTACCTTTAAAACGTAGTTAATTCTGCTAACATTTCAGTGCAGGCATTGGACGAACGGGGACGTTTATAGTGATAGACATTCTCCTCAATCAAATTCGGCACAGAGGTATGGTGTAATTTTGTGAAAAATGTGTAGTGATGTATCTTCTATAGTATAAGCAGTAGTTTTATTTAGGAAGTTCTTGTCCCATTGATATACCACGCACGGTGATGAAAATTCGCGAACAGCGCAGCCGTATGGTTCAAACGGAAGCGCAATATGTCTTTCTGTACAGAGCAATTAGTTGCTATATAGCTATGCAAAGTCGGGTACGCTTTCACTTTTTTTTTTAATCTTTGCCCTTTTATTGGGACGGGCATTTTGCTGCAGTAAAGGACTATTTGTAGTCTCGACATCCTTCCGATGAGACGGGTACCGGTGAAGGAGGGCATCCGCTACATCTTCCACCACCCCCAGTTCCGCGACGACGAGCGGTACCTGAGGTCGCTCAGGCATATGTGAATAACGGATAGTACAAAAATACGGTATGTGCTTTTGTTTTTTTTGCTATTGCATAAGTTAATATTTTCGTTTTATACGTTTTGTATAATACGATTGTATTTCTGTGAAAATTCCATCCACCCACTGGATATCCTTTGGAAGTTATCTACGTCGCTTACGCTGATCATCTTCTTTCTCGAGTGGGCACGGAACATCTACAACCTTTTGCTCTGTGACCTTCTATCTATCTTCAATCTCTAGTGAATCTCCTCATCTGAAGGACACGATGCGTCCCTTTCCACACCTGTATGGAGAAGTTTTACTATTGGCTGGTAGAGGTATCACAATGATAATGATGAATGACCTAATTCTGCTCAAGGATCCCCAATTGAAGGCTGCTACTTCTTCTAAGAGCTGCACTCTACCTCCTGATGTGACTTCTGTCCTTTCAACTTTCCTCACGTGCGTCCTCACTTGCGTCTTACTCTGGCGGTGTTGCATCATGAGCATAAAAAAATAGAGATGACCTTGGTCACCGTAATAATTTTATTGTACGCACCGGTCTTATACTACATATAATACATAGTCGTTAAGACCGACGTCACACTCGGCGACGGACAAGCGATGGAGCGATCGCGATCGCTCCATCGCTTGTCCGTCGCCGAGTGTGACGTCGGTCTAAGGGAATTCTAGGTTTGGAAATGATATATTACCATTTTTTACTGCTGTTACCCTAGTTTTACCGTATTTGTTATCATATTTTTGGGGACGCAGGTTTGGCATTGCAGTGAACTGCCTTGTTTTTGTTCATGGTTAAAGACTGCTCCATGTTATTAATATGCATCTAATGTAAGGAATTTTCAGGATAAAAATCGTCTGCGTCATTTCACTGACTCATGGAATTTATGCGGTGTAAAAATCGTTTGTGCTAGTGTTTGTTTAGTTAATTTACACTTTGTAAACATTTTATTTTTTATTACTGATGGCAGTTGCATTTCGATACTGAGCTGTATCTGTCATGAGTTAATAGGTTGTGATTCACTGCATCTGTTTGAAGTTCATTGGATACAACCAGAAATTCAAGCGAAAATGTAAGAGTTTGAGCGTACCCATTTGTAGTTTTATCACATTCTGAAGGTAAATTCCGCAATAGCAGAGAAGGTGTAATTTGCTCCAAATATGAAGCAGTAGCTATTGGTCAATCAGTGAAGAAAAAATGTAGAAAAACGCTGGAAGCTTTTAAATGAGGGTTTTTTTTCTGTGAGGACGACATTAGCAAAGAGATAGTCTGTGATACAATAGAGGTCGGGTGAAAGAACAGACTTGGAAACGAGAGAGCATATGGGACGAGCAAGACGCAGACGTCGCAGAAGTGGGCGGGCATTGGTGCATGGCCTGTACCCGACAGGAGGCCCGTCGCGCGGCAAGAAGGCAGAGTCAGCGGACGAGTCGCAGCGCACTGTAGTGATTTCGCGTCAAGTTAAATAGAATGTACCATTGTACGTCCTACATCGCACATCACTGCGACTCGTCCGCTGACTCTGCCTTCTTGCCGCGCGACGGGCCTCCTGTCGGGTACCCGGTGCATGGCCTGCATTGAGCCGGCTTTGAAATCCCTAGCATTCCAAGCCACGTGCTTTGAGTCGCAAAAATGACCTTACTATTTCTCATGACCCTCAATCGCGAGGGTTTTTTTTGGACGATGTGTAAGGAATGTGCCTTCAGTGAGCTTTGCTGGTGTAGATTTCATTGCATAACTCATAGATTTCTTCTTGGTCATATGTATGATGTCTTTTATTCGTATCGCATTACACTGCTGTAATATGCTATAATTACCGGTTAAGTAATGTCGAGTGTTGATTGATCTTGATTGTGATGAGTTCGTAATAACTT